CACAAGAATGGTACTAGTTAAAAGGGTGAGTTTTTTCAGGAATACTCTTTTTTTTAATTTAATTTTTTAAATTTAATTTATAATTTTACATGTCGATCCCAGTTTCCTCTCGCTCCCTCCCTCCCTCCCTCCCTTTCAGGAATATTCTTGATGGGGTTGTTTGTCATGGTCTCAAAGTAGAAAAACGTCCAAATACGGAAAGGATATATGACATATCTGCATGACAGAGGATCTTTAGCCAGGCTGTGACTGAAGAACATACCGAGAGACACATGCTACAATGTGGGTAAACCTCGGAGACAGTGTGCTGTGTGAAAGGGTCATTCGTGGAGGCCACATATCTTATGTCTCCATTTATATTCAGTGTCCAAAACAGCCAAGCAGAGTGGAGCATTCTTGTAGTCCTAGCTAAGGTGTGAAGATTGTGAGTGTGAGGCTAGCCTGGGCTATGCCGTGATGTCTCATAAAACCAAAAAGGAAGAAAAGTCAGAGAAAAAAATTTGCCAGAATTAAGGCTTTAGCTGGGGACATGGCTCAGTTGGTAGAGCGCTTAGTCAGCATACACAAAGCCCTGGGCTGAGCCCCAGCACTGCATGAACGGATGGTATTACGTGTGTGTCTACAGCCCCACAACCTCACAGACAGATGCAGGAGGATTAGAAGTTCAAGGTCACGTGTGGCTGAATAGCCAGTTTGAGGCCAGCCTGGAATACATGTGCCCCTGTCTCCAATGAATGAATGAATGATTATGATTCAGTACAAGGCAATACCATACAGTAGGGCTTGGAGGAAGAGGTGGTGGGGTATAATTCACACTGCCGAATCTAGGGAGAGTTAGTGATATCTGGTTATCCTGTTACCAGAAAGCCCTATGTAGATGTTGCTGAGGTTTGGTGATCTGAACCTGTAGATGTGGCTCTGTGTGTGAGAGGCAACTGAAGTCCAGTAGTGGTAGAGTGGGTGATTCCGGTTCTCCAGAGGAACCGGTGTGTGAGCCGCACCCTGTCTGTGATGCTAATTGTTTCCCTAACAAGCTGGTCCTCTGCCAGGATCTCATCTCCATGGAGGCCCTGCTTTAGGAAGCTGTAACCTAAGTTGTTATTACTCTCTCTTCTCCAGGGTTAAGTGCTTTCATTTTGTAACAAATTGCTGTGCTGGTGTTGACACTAATCCCTTTGTATACATTTAAATGTTTTTAAAAAGAAGAAAAATCAGCCTATTTTTTTTTTTTTAAAGGCTTTTGTTTTCAGTTGATGGTTCATTTTGGAAAACTAAGGTTAAGTAAATGGGGTTTCATTTGGGATTTTTTCTTTTCTGTTTAAAAAATATGAAAAGTATGGAAGTGTGGGGCTAGTAAGATGCTTTAGGGGATACACGTACCTGCCTCCAAGCCTGCTGATCTGTTTGAACAGAAAGAGAGTTCCTGTAAGTTGTCCCCTGCTTTCCACAGACATGCTGTGGTATGTGCACACACTCTAAATAAAAGGTTAAAAAAAAAATACATTAAGTAGAAGGATAACCATTCAGTAGAAAAGAATGCATTCTTGATCTTATTAATTAGGCTATACTTTAATATTTTATATTTCTATACTTTCTGAAATAATAGACTTTATCAATAGCACGATTTAATATAATTCCATAATCTGTATTGTTTATATTTTTTATTAGTATACTTTTCTCATACGTTTAAAACATGTTTGTTTATGAGGGTTTTGTCTGCCTGTGTGTCTGCACCACATGTATGCAGTGTCCTTGCAAAGCCGGAAAGGGTGTTGGATCCCCGGGAGCTGAACTTACAGATGGTTGTGAACTGCCATGTGGGTCCTAGGAGCTGAACCCTGGTCCTCGTAAGAGCAACAAGTGCTCTTTACTGCTCAACTATCTCTAAAAGCCGAAACCCCTTTCTTCTTAAAGTACTGGACAGTCTGTAGCACACACAGAAGCAAAGGCGAGTGTTGCAAATGCTCATCTCTCATCATGGTAGCTGTCTAGACGTGTTTCTCTTTTAATTTTTGAGAGAGTTCTGAGAAATAGAAAGATAAGTGAGTCTTTTTAAAAGTTTTCATTTTTGTGGCGATGGGAATCGAACTTGGGTCCTCCGCAAGCACATTGTACATACACCCTAGCTGCTGAGCTAGCTCTCCAGTCCCTTGACAACTGTGCCGCTGATGGAAGGCGTGTGTTGAGGGCCTTCTGAAGATGGGTGATTTGAGGGACCTTTACAGGTTGCTGGTAGAGTAAGCCAACAGAAGGCACAGCTCATTCATCCTGCAGCAGGTGACTGGAAGGTTGGAAGGTTCAAGGTTAAAGGTCTGAGGAGACAGAAAGGAGGCATTGAAGCCATAGCGGAAACTAGAAGAGACTAGGAGGGAGCCAGCTCACTGGAGTGTTGGTTGGTGACGAGGGAATCTGGGCTGCAATGGTTGCGCTGAGCCTGATTGAGGTGAGGTACAGTGGACGCCCCATCTTTGGCCCTGAGCTGAAGTGTTGCTGGGCCCCGAGTGTTTTGTCGTCTTCTTGCTTGCAGCTGCTTGCCTGCCTCTTCCTTGTTCTAGGCAGTAAGAGCCCTTGAGTCAGACAGATGCTGTGCAGTAGTCAGTACAGTACAGTACAGTGCCTGTCTTCCCGTGGGCCTGTGTAGTGTGTAGTGTTCGCTGAGTGAGTGTGGGCTGCAGCGTGGGGGCTTGTGTGGGAGAAGGAAGAAGGGAGAGCATGTAGAACAAGAACACAGACTCCTGCTCAGCGCATGCTAAGCTCTGACTGCTACAAACGCTGCAGAAGGAGACACTGACTGGTTGCTTTTGACTGCGTTCGCGTGAATTCTACCACTCCTGGTCTTCTAGGGTTGGCTACATAATAGCATGCCTGCCTTCTAAAAACATACCTGGTTTTAATTTATGTTTAATTGAATTATAGTTGCATAACTCTCCCCCTTCCTTTTTCTCCTTTCCATGCCCCCTCTGAAACAGTGTGTGTGTGTGTGTGTGTGTGTGTGTGTGCGCGCGCGTGTGTGTGTGCATGGATGTGAGTGCCTGTGGGTGCATGTACAGGCACAGCACATGTGTAGGACACAGGGCAGCCTCAGGTACCTTTTGCTAGGGTCTCTAGCTGGATTTTGGCCAAAAGCGCCGTTCTGTGTCCCCTGAGTGGGCTGGGAAGCTGTGCTGTTGTGCCGTATTTGCCCATGAACTCAGTGGTCTCAGGTTCTAGCTTGCTGGTTCCCCAGCTTTGCCTTTGCATTTAAAGGGATGGAAAGGGGTTCCTTGGCAGTTTCTGGGCATGTCAGTGCCTCTTGGCAGCATGGCTGGAGTAGCTAGTTCTGGCCGTGGCCCTACATTTTGGCATACCAGAAAGCAGATAGGGCTGGCAGCTTCCCTGTCCTTAGTGATGTTTCTGGGGGAATATTAGCCCCTAAGAGATTCCCGAGTGTTTGCTTGTGTGTTGACTGGCGCTCCTGAGTCCATGGCCCACTATTGTAGCTGGCGTTGAACAATGAATAGTGCTTGATACTTGTGCTTTCAACTTTCAATGAGGTGGTAGTGTAGTGGGAAGAGACACAGACTTTGGGACCACGTAGAATGCTTCTGTTTTTATATTTAAAAAGTCTATTATGAGGGTGGTTGTGCATGTCATGGCACACCTGTGGAGGTCAGAGGGTAACCTTGCCAAGCCAGTTTTCTCTCTCCACCCCTTGCATGGGTTCCAGGGATTGAATTCAGCTCACCAGGTTTTTGTGGTGTCTCTATCCACGGAGCCATCTTCCTGGCCCTCATTTTAAATTACTTGTGTGTGTGTGCTGTGCACACCTGTGTATGCATTTGCTCACAGAAGCCGGAGGAGGCCATGGATGTCTTCCTCAATCTCTTTCTTTCTTACTCCTTTGAAATGGAGCCTCTCCCTGACTTGGAGCTCATGTGTTTTGGCTGGGATGGCTGCTAACAAGCTTGGTCTGTCCTCCTGTGCCCTTCTGGGATCACAGGTGCGTACGAGACCAGCTTGTTATGTGGGTGCCGGGATCTGAACTCATGTCTGCATGCTTGTGAAGCAAGCACTCTTGCCCACTGAGTCATTTTCCAGCTCTCAGATGCTGCATCTTTAAAAAAGCTGGGCTTTCTGTGTGTTTTCCTAGTTTAGAAAGAAAGGAACTAATTAGTAGAACTAACTAGTAGGAGAGAACTGAATAGGAAGCATATTACTCTGCCGGCTACAGTTAACTAGTTAGCTCTTAAGTCTGTTTGGCGGAAACAATTTTGAGGGACTGAAGGTGGGTCAGCTCAGTGGTAGAGCACTTGCCTAGTACGCACAAGTGCCTGTGTTCCTGCCTCAGCCCTGCAAGAAGTCCAAACTCACTGTGCGTTTACAGTGCCCGAGCATGATATTTGAGCACTCTCTTCATAACAAAGCAGTCGTCCCAAGTGGAATTGATGTCAACTGGGAATACTGTGTCAACAGCCCATCCGTCTCCTTTTCTTCCCTCTGCTCCTTTCTCTCCTTTGCTTGGAAAGGAGGCTCCATCCGCTGTGAAACTGCAGAGCAGCAAGGACAGCGTAGGTGCTCGCTGCCTTTGACTTTGGTTAACGTGACCAAGCTTGGGTCCCTTCCCAGGACCGAGTTTATGGAGAGAAGGACGCTAAGGCAAGGAGCCTCCGGACCTACCATGGCTTCGGAGTGCGGCAGGGTTTTGGGAGGAGCAAAACTGAAGCCCCCGGAGGCAGAGGATTCCTGTCCTAACTTGTGCTTTGCAAGCTGGGGAACCGTGGAAAGTACCAGCTTCCCGAACACATAGCTCGCTGGCTCCATCCTTTGGGCTTCGCCGTTCTGCTAATAAAAATAATAATTGTAATTATGCTTTTCTGATACATTTGCCAAGTGCTCATGCTTCCCAGTCCACACGTGATCAAGGGTGTTTATATGCATGTGTGCTTTGTCTTTGATGAGTGTTTCCTAACAGTTGCGTGTTCTGCTCTCTGGCTGATCTGTTGTCCTTTCTTCCTTTTCAGAATGGACTGCTGAATTATGAAGTATGTCAGACTTAGCCGAAGACCATCACTCTGCCACTCTCTCCTTGATCGCCTACTAGTTATTTAAATTGGACTTTTAATACCCTACCAGCTGCTCTTCAGACACACATGGTGCATTGCTGCCATTCCCCGGATTGCATCTTTGAAACACACGCTCTCAGTAGACTTCGGCGAACAAAGAGGCCACCTCCCGGTACAGCTACCGGGAGGGAGTCATCCTGACTGCCCGCTAGCCTTGGCCGGATCTGGATTTGAATTCTACCATGGAACCTCGAATGGAGTCCTGTCTGGCCTTGGTGCTGCAGAAGGATGTGGGGAAACGGCTGCAGGTTGGCCAGGAACTCATAGACTATTTCTCAGACAAGCAGAAGTCTGCTGACCTTGAACATGACCAGACCATGTTAGATAAGCTTGTGGATGGACTCGCTACCTCTTGGGTGAACTCTAGCAATTACAAGGTAAGCCTCGCGTTAGGAGGTGGGTGTTCTTGAAGGTGGTAAAGCTGTCTTGGCAGATCAAATTTGGGTTGGGGAAAAAAAAAATCTTTTGGGAAGACTCAGCAGCCTGAGCCCTCAGCTTCAAACACGATACACATGCAAGTTGTGAGAAGAGGAGATGGGGGGGCTTTTATATGGGGATGTTTACAAGTGTTTGCAGCCTTGACACTGACGTCTTACCATGTTTTGCAGAGAGGTGGTTTTGACACCTTGGTGAGTGGCCTCTCACGACTGAAAGGTGTCTTCAGGGTCAGAATGTATAGCATTTTACTTTCAAATGACTACTTTGAAGTATACTCGGTACCTGGCCAGAAACAGTTTTAGTTGTCAGGCAGTGACTTTGACCCATAGGTAATGGACCTTAGGTAATAGGTATCCTAGAGGATAGCTTTTGGCTTTGAACATTAGGCTCTTCATGTGCGACAGGGGGGAAATGGGAGGGGGAGGGTGTCTGCAGGGAGGTGGCTGCCCACAGCCCATTTAAGTTGTGAACATGGACCATTTTACCATTCAGGGTTGAGTGTCGTGAATGCAAAATGTGGGATATTCTTCACCTGCCCCCTCCTGCATCTAACCCTAACCCTTCCAGGGGTGGCGTCTCTGGGTCAGGGTTGAGTGGATGGAAGGGAAGGAAGCTTGCGTGGCTGCTTTAGTGCTGTAGACTTTGTCAGGGGCATAAACACACAAAAGCGAGCTGCTCTTCAGCGACTCAGTTGCCTGAGGCTGTTTTGGATGTAGGAGCTGGTGCTTCCAGGATTCCTTTTGCTCTGCCTTCCACATACACGTAAGCCTCAGTTTCAACCAAGATGGTGAGCTCTGCGTTCAGACATTACCTAGTACGTAATAGTTCATTCACCACTGGGTATACCCATGGATCCTCCTGTTCTTGAAGCTGAGCTGAAATCCTATCTTAGTCTATTGCATTTGGCAGAAGTGCATGTCATGTGCAGGCCACCCCATGCCCTACGGTGAGAGCACTGGCCATGAGAGGTCAGGTAGCGTCTGCTTGTGCTTGTGAGGGCCGACGGGTTACCTTGTCTGTGTTTGACTCATGGGTCCACTGCTTCTGTGTGCATGTTATAAGCATTTGATCCAGAGAAACTGAGAAGGACCTTAGGAAATTTAGCAAGCCTAGTAGTAGCCCAGGTAATGTCCAGGGAGGAAGAGCGCTTTCTGAGCTCACAGCAGACCTCATGCATAACTCTGGCCCACTCTGGCCAGTCGGCCTTACTTCCTCCCTTCCCTCCCTGCAGGAGCATGGGGCAGTGAGCGCCATGGGGCAGTGAGCAGAGCATCATGGGGCAGTGAGCATCATGGGGCAGTGAGCGCCCTGGGGCAGTGAGCATCATGGGGCAGTGAGCGCCATGGGGCAGTGAGCATCATGGGGCAGTGAGCACCCTGGGGCAGTGAGCATCATGGGGCAGTGAGCATCATGGGGCAGTGAGCATCATGGGGCAGTGAGCACCCTGGGGCAGTGAGCATCATGGGGCAGTGAGCGCCATCGGGCAGTGAGCGCCAGGGGGCAGTGAGCGCCATGGGGCAGTGAGCATCTTCGGGCAGTGAGCGCCATCGGGCAGTGAGCGCCATGGGGCAGTGAGCAGAGCATCATGGGGCAGTGAGCATCATGGGGCAGTGAGCATCATGGGGCAGTGAGCACCCTGGGGCAGTGAGCGCCATGGGGCAGTGAGCGCCCTGGGGCAGTGAGCATCATGGGGCAGTGAGCATCATGGGGCAGTGAGCGCCATGGGGCAGTGAGCATCATGGTGCAGTGAGCGCCATGGGGCAGTGAGCGCCCTGGGGCAGTGAGCGCCATCGGGCAGTGAGCGCCATCGGGCAGTGAGCATCATGGGGCAGTGAGCATCATGGGGCAGTGAGCGCCATGGGGCAGTGAGCATCATGGGGCAGTGAGCGCCATGGGGCAGTGAGCGCCATGGAGCAGTGAGCGCCATCGGGCAGTGAGCATCATCGGGCAGTGAGCATCATGGGGCAGTGATTGCCATGGGGCAGTGAGCGCCATGGGGCAGTGAGCGCCATCGGGCAGTGAGCATCATCGGGCAGTGAGCATCATGGGGCAGTGATTGCCATGGGGCAGTGAGCGCCATCGGGCAGTGAGCGCCATGGGGCAGTGAGCAGAGCATCATGGGGCAGTGAGCATCATGGGGCAGTGAGCATCATGGGGCAGTGAGCACCCTGGGGCAGTGAGCATCATGGGGCAGTGAGCATCATGGGGCAGTGAGCGCCATCGGGCAGTGAGCGCCATCGGGCAGTGAGCATCATGGGGCAGTGAGCATCATGGGGCAGTGAGCGCCATCGGGCAGTGAGCGCCATCGGGCAGTGAACATCATGGGGCAGTGAGCATCATGGGGCAGTGAGCGCCATCGGGCAGTGAGCGCCCTGGGGCAGTGAGCATCATGGGGCAGTGAGCGCCATGGGGCAGTGAGCATCATGGGGCAGTGATTGCCATGGGGCAGTGTCTATGGATGTCTATCCAGGATCACTTCCCACCTCCTGCTTACCTGAAGGTCTCAAGGTCTCATCACAGATGCTCCTCCCTCCCCTGAGGGAAGTCTGTGCTCACAGGAAGGAGGAAGGAACAGGAGTTGAGTCTGTACTAGGAAGGGGAGGTTTTCCCTGGGATAAAGCTGATGAACTCCCTGTGGAGCCTGTTTCTCTGAGCTTTTTATGTGTCTGAGTCTCCGGTTCCCCATTTAAAGTCAGGATAATCAAGTTATTCACTAACCTTTAAAGAGTCATTTATTCTTATTTTATGTGTATGAGTGTTTGCATGTTTGTGTCCCACATGCGTGCAGTGCTCATGGAGTGAGGAGAGGCCCTCTCCCCAAACTGAACTGGAGTTACAGTTGTGAGCCACCACATGGATGCTGGGAACCAAACTTGCTTCTCTGCAAGAGCAGTTAATACTACTAAGCACTAGGCCATTTCTCCAGCCCCTTGGAAGATTTTTTTTTTTTTTTTTGTATATATGTGTGTTTATGTGTATGTGAGTGTGCCTATGCCATGGTGTGTGTGTGTGTGTGTGTGTGTGTGTGTGTGTGTGTTGGAGAACCTCAGGTGTTGTATTTTGCTGAATTATTCTGTTTCCAATAAAAACTGGAGAGTCAGATGTCGGTGTGAAAAAACTTACAGATCAAAGAAGCAGAGGAGCGAGCAGCTGACCTTCCCAGCCAGAATCTCTTCTCCAGAGTTCCAGGTGGAAGAGAGCCCCTCCCTTCTCCTTCCTGTCTGACTTCCCTGTCTCTATTTCTGGCTTCTCCATGGCTGATTCCCATCGGCTAGTGGCCGGCTCTGCGCCCTGATTTAAAGTTAACTTTATTGAGTGTCATAGGATGGTCAAATCTCCCTTAGCATTCAGGTGTTGGTCCTTGCCTTTCAGTTGATTTGAGATAGGGTCTCTTCTTGCTCACCACTGTTCTGTGTGCCAGGCTAGCTGAGCCATAAGCTTCCAGGGAGCCTTCTGATCCTCTCCCCTCTCCCCATAGGAGTGCTGAGATTATAGATGTGCTCCCACATCCAGCATTTACATGGTTCTGGGGAGCTGAACTCAGGTCCTTGTGCATGGGTACCAGTGACTTGACCTTCTGAGCCATCTCCCCGGTCAGATAACAGAGTTTTTTGAGCACTGAATGGGTCTCAGTTATTTCTTGCCACTGTCCCCTAAGCTCCTTAGTGGTGGCTCTTGTCTAGGGGCAGGTGCTGGTCAAAGTAGGTGATGACATCACTGTTCAGGTACAGCATGTGCACGAATAGAAATCATGGGATGTAAGCAGCACCGCTTGGGGGGGGGGGCTGGGACTTTCAGTCCTTTTCCAGAATGGATTTGGGAACCCACAGGAGGGAAGGTTTAAGACTCAACACTCTGAGGAGGATTATCTTTGCTCTCCCATGCTGTTCCCCCCCCCCCCCCTTCTCCTGTCCTCTTTTCTTTCCTCTTCTCTTTTTGATACAGGGTCTTCTAGCTAGCCCAGGCTGGCCTGAACTTGGGTGATCTTGAACTCAGGTTCCTGCGGTCCCCAGTCCTTAAGTGCTGGGATGACAGCGGTGGGTGTGTGCTAGCATGCCTGACCAGGAGTAATTAGCAAGCGAAAGCAGGTTGTTGGGAAGTAAAGTGACAAAGATTGGGCCCAGGACCAACTCACTTGTGACCAGGGTCGCCAACCCGTTTGTCATGCTGATGAGCTGAGTGTGATGTCACTTGGGGACACTCAGCTCTGAAGTGTACTGCTTTAATACAGGGCTCTTTTGTGGTTTTAATCCTGCAGGGCAGAGCACCCCCCCCCCAAGTGTTGAGGTGCAGAGACAGCCCTGTTCCCAGCCTGGACCTGATAGGGGCTCAGCAAATACTGGATACAGGGATGGACTTGGATTATTGAATGCTTAGCAGGTCTGGCAGGTTGCTTTGTTGAAATCTGGACATTAATCTTTTGGGTTCCTCCTCCTTTGTTTTCTTAATCTTAGTCAAGAGTTCTGAGAATCTGAGGTACATTTTATTAGACTTTAATTTTAAAATAATAGGCATGGAAGAGATTAGTTTTCCAAACAGAAGCTGCACTCGTAGATTCTTTTTAAGTTAAGGGCTGAAGAGATAGGAGGAGAAAGGTGAAGTAATTTTGGTCTTCTAAAGCGACAGTACTCATATGTTATTTCTTTTTCTTTGTGTGTGTGTGTGTGTGTGTGTGTGTGTGTGTGTGGTCATGTGTAGAGGCCAAAGGCCAGTCTTAGGTGTCATTCCCCAGGAGCTAGTTCCTTTTTTTGAGATAGGATTTCTCACGCGGCTGGCTGTGGCTAGTCACTGAGCTCCAGCTTCATCCAGTGGACACCTCCTCAGCATGTGGGTACTGGGGATTGAATCAGGTCTGCGTGCCTGTGTGGCTAGCCTCAACTAACCAAGGGCTCTCCCCAGTCCTTATTTTCTCAACAGGGAAGGAATGCCATGGAGACAT